TAAACCTGGTGTCAGAACCTGTGACTTTCCCAATGCCCAGGATTGACGACATTTTAACACGTGTGAGGCAGGGGAAGATTTTTACCAAGCTGGACCTCAGGGGGACATACAATCTGATTAGGATAAAGGGAGGGGGACGAATGGAAAATGACCATGTTCACCCCCCTGGGGGCTTTTGAGTACTTAGTCATGCCATTTGGATTACAATCGGGGTCCGCCTGCTTTCAAGCCTTCATGCACCATGTGTTGGGGCCCCTGCTGTACAAGAATTGGGTAGCCTTTTTGGATGACGTCTTAATCTATTCGGACTATGAACGCAACACGTCAGAGACGTCAGGGAGGTGCTACAGAGATTGAAGAAGCATCAGTTGTGGGTCAAGCTGGAAAAATGCCAATTCCACGCCAGGGAGGTCGAGTTCCTGGGGTACAGGTTGTCAGACAAAAGGGCTGGCCATGGATCCGGGCAAGGTGAAGGCAGTGCTGGAATGGAAGGCCCCCAAAAACAGAAAGGATGTGCAGAGGTTCCTAGGCTTCAGCAACGTCTACAGGAAGTTCATAAAGAACTTTGCTCACTTGACAGTGCCCATAATGGATTGTCTTAGTAGCAAAAAGAAGTTCACATGGACAGAGGATGTGCAGCAATCCTTTGAAAAACTGAAGAAGGCGTTTGCCTCGGAAGAGCAGCTCCTGCACAGGGATCCGGAGAAGCCCATGAGACTGGAGACGGACGCGTCCGACCGCGCAATTGGAGTGGTACTTTTGCAACCCAGGTCCAAGGAGAACTGGAGACCGTGTGCCTTTTTCTCTAGGAAGCTGAGCAAGTCAGAGCAAAACTACACGGTGTATGACCGAGAACTGCTTGCGATCTATGCGGCATTTCGGCAATGGAGACATCTCTTGATAGGGGCGCGGCACAAGATCCAGGTCCGAACTGACCACAAGAACTTGGAATACTGGCGGACCGCACGAGTGCTCAACCAGAGACAGATCAGATGGTCCCAGGAGTTCGCCAAGTTTTTCTTCGAGATACGATACATGCCGGGAGGGGAAAACATAAGGGCAGATGCACTTTCCAGGAAACCGGAGTACATGGAAGGAGAGGGGCCACCAGAGACCAGGCACGTGTTCCCTGAGGACCGGTGTGTGGGGGGGGGAGCGTTGGTTGGGAAACGAGAACTGGCAGGGCTCACCAGAAACAATGAGTTCGCTCAGACAAAAATCAGGGAGCTCAGGGACGGAAAGGAAGACAATGGAGGGTTTGAGGAAAAGGAAGGGCTACTGTACTATAAGGGGGCGCTGTATGTACCAGGGGAGACTTTGAGGGGGAAGGTACTTAAGACAGCTCCATGACAACCCAACAGCTGGGCACTTTGGACAGCACAAGACCATGCTGCTTGTCACCAGGCAGTTCTGGTGGCCAAACGTGAGGGAAGACGTACGAGAATATGTACAAGGTGCGACTGATGCCAGAGGGCAAAGGGGGAAAGGACTGCCCCCGTGGGGTTACTGGAACCCTTACCTACACCGGAAAGGCCCTGGGAGGTGGTGTCCATTGATTTTATGACAGATCTGCCCAAGTCAAGGGGGAAAGACAGCGGTCATGGTAGTGGTCGATCTACTGACTAAAATGTGCCATTTCGTAGCTTGCTCACATGCAGCAACGGCAGAGGAGACAGCCAGGATGTTTGTGGACCACATTTTTAGACTGCATGGGGCCCATTGAGGGTAATCTCGGATCGCGGGAAACAATTTACCTCCCGGTTCTGGCGGAGACTCATGAGCTTGCTACAGGTCGAGGTGAGCTTCTCGACGGCGAGGCACCCAGAAACCAACGGACAAGCCGAAAGAGCGAACGGTATACTCCAGCAGTACCTGCGCTGCTATGTCAGCGAGAGGCAGAACGATTGGGTAGAGAAATTAGCTTTGGCTGAATTTGCATACAATAACGCTGAACACGTGTCCACGGAAATGAGCCCTTTCATGGCCAGTTACGGGTGTCACCCCAGGGCCTTTCCAGGGCGGGGGGAGGAAGGATGGAGTATACCTGTGGCTGAGCAATTTGTGGAGGAAATGGAGGCCTTACACCAGCAACTCAGGCTGAACTTGGAGCGGGCCAAGGAAGTTTACAAGAGGAAGGCAGACAGGCACCGTCGGGAGGGGGAGGCCATACGGGTGGGAGACCGGGTGTGGTTGTCATCCCAAGGGTTGCCCCTAAAGGGAGGGTGCAAGAAGCTGCAGCCGAGGCGGCTGGGGCCTTTTGAGGTAATACAGCAGGTTAACCCAGTGGCATTTAAACTCAAGTTGCCTGACAGCATGAAGATACATCTGGTGTTCCATAGGTCCCTACTTTCACCTTACAGGGAGGGGTGGGAATTCCCGGGACAGGAGGGAGGGGTTACCACCCACCCGCAGGTAGAGGAGAGGGAACACTGTAACCAAGCCACGGAAATACTTGATTCAAGGTGGCGAGGTCACCAGGTAGAGTACTTGGTAGCCTGGGAGGGGAGAACCTAGGTCGGAAAACACGTGGGTCCCCGCTGAATCAATCAATGACGGGTATCTGGTGGAAGAATTCCAAGTTTGTTCCCAGATAAGCCCAAACCATTAGCTAGATTCTGGAAGAATTTGGACCCACAGACGGCGAAGGGGACTTTGTGGGTTTTCCTGCCTCCGAAGAGGAGGGAGGGGAGGTGTCCGAGGGAGAAGAATCAGACTGGGAGGTTCAACCAGCAGGAAGAGATCCAAGCGGATAGGAGGCTGGTTTTGAATCCTCAGAAGATGATGACAGCTCCTTCAGGGGATTCCCCGCATCGTCGGCTGAGGAGAGAGAGGAGGTTGTATCAGAAAATCGTGCCAGGGGTGGGGGGGTCCTGAGGAGGAGGTGGATGTCAGGGAACTGCCATCAGTGCTGGAGGGAGAGAGCGGGCTCCAGAGGGATTCCAGAGAGCGTCCCAGGATGGGGAGAGGCAGCCCATCTTCTGGGGAAAAGAATCAGCGTAGCACCAGTGGAGAAGGGGGGCAGATGGGGGAATCGGTGAGGCGGTCCCATGACTCCTTGCCGGGGACCAGCGGGGAGAGTAAGGGTCCTCTGCTGCCTACACCCTCCTTGCGCAGAAGGCTTCCACGCAGGGAGAGTAGGAGGAGACTAGGCGTCAAAGAGCTTCTTTGCTGGAAGAAGTTTAAGAAACGCCCACTGACGGATTCTGCCAGCGATTGAGTCAGCCACGGGTGAGTGGCTGTCCGGACAGAAAAGGTTCACTTAGGCAACCCAGCCAGGTGTTTGCACCCAGCCGGGGAGATAAGCACCGGCTTACGCACGAGCAACCCCTAGAACCATTACATTAGGGTATCCATATTTTTGCTTCCCTGCCCACGCCTCAGATAATTGAAGAAGGAACCCACAACGTCATTGAGCAGGTATGGATGCGCACACACACACCTGCTTTCATCTGTGTTCAAATGGACTCACTGTAGAGCAGCCCCAGACTTAAATAATGCAGCTGACAAGGCTACAAGAAGGCAAACATTTTAATAAAGATGTGCATTTTCAGCATTTCCCATTTGACACATACTCACCAGTAATAAGGAAGAGAGGAAAGGAGGCCCAACCCAAGCCGAAAGACCATCCATAAGACAATCCAGGACCGAACACTGTTCCCACACACCCTGTGAAAGTGGCCGTGGCAATTAGGACACAACCAGCTAGGAAGAAAAAATACATCAGGATATCAGGTTACTTGTAAATTAAATCCTTGATGCTGAGCTGGAAGCGGCAGCTAGTGCAAAATGGAGAGGATCAACTATTCACTTGGGGTGAAATATGACCAACATATATCCTTCTGCTGAAAGAAATGCACTGGTTGCCAATCTGCCGCTGTGCAAGGTTCAAAATTAGTGTACAAAGCCCTAGATAGCTATGAACCAGTGTGACTAAAACATCATCTCACCCCTTACATCCCAAGCTGACCACTGTGCGCTGCAAGAAATGGCATCCTGCAGGTCCCAGCCTATGAGGAGGTCTGTTCCACATGATGTCAAAATCGGGTCTTTGAGGTGTTGGCACCTACACTTTGGAACTTCCTCCCTTTATATATCAGACAGGCACCTTCTCTATTGTCTTTCTGGTGCATGCTAAAGATGTCCTGCTTTCAACGAACGTGCTAAAATCTTTATCCCAGCTGGTATCTGTTCTGAATCTGAGTTGATTGTAGATTATTGGCTGCTGTTCTGAACAGTTTTTCTATATTTATGGTTACTATATTTCAAATTGTTTTCAAATGGAATTGTTTGGCTGTTTTTATATATGTATCAGTTACATATAATGAAAAAGTAAAAGTGTCATCACCCTGCAGTTCACTTAAACACAGACAGGTGGCGATGTGAAATAAAGTGTGATGAGCAGTGGTGGATGGGTGGCTCAGGCAAGGGACTGCCACAACATGCGGCAGCCGTTTCTGAGCAGCAGCCCTTCTCTGCTGGCCACCTTTCAGCCTTGCTCCTCCTGCCAGCCAAGCTGTTCATTCTACTGCCAGTGCAGGCAAAGGTAGAAAAAGGAAGATTTTAGGAGCATGCCTTGCTGAATAAGGGGGACATAGTTTTCGTTGGATGAACTCCACTTCTACTTGCAGTGCTGCTTTTGAAGCTGCTCTATACAGATCTTTTCCATCTCCACCATTGCAGTTGGAAAAGAGCCATTTCTGGGGAGGCTTTGAAGAGCCTTTGTGATCCTCTTCTTCTCCTTTGCACCATAATATTGGAAGTGCAAATAAGAAGGGGGAGGAGGATCATGAAGGGTTTTACGAACTGGCTCTTCTCCTTTGCATTGATGGAAATGGAAGAGGAAAGATGTATTTAGGGAGATCGCTAAGCCCTTTTCTAGGCTCCTACTTTCAACTGTTGCAGGTGTTGCAAAAAGAAGCATCAGAAGTTCACCCTCCTGAGAGGCCTACAGCAGATTCATACCTTCCAGATGAACTGGATATGCAGTAGTGGCTCCACCACTAAATACCTGGGATGGAGAGTAAGGGTTTGAATTGTACCTTTTATCATGGTAATACATTTCACTGGGTCTACTCTGAATATGACTTAGTTGGAGTCCACCAATAGGATCCCGTGTGGACTTTCCCTTTCAGCTCAAGTTTTCTTGGTGTAGGATCTGTGGGATTTGTTCAGGCACAGTCTGCAGCTCTGAGTTTAGGGGCTTGAGGGGACTGTGGAATCAGATGCATATGACCCCAAGGATACCTGCAACAAGGCTGGCTATGGCTGAGGTCCTGGCCCGGGAGAGGAAGCCAAACTGGAAGTCAAAAAATGTTCCACAAAGAATAATGCAAGAGACGACTCCAGCGATCATCCCGAGGAACATGAACGCTCGGGTGGCATGGATGTAATCTTGAAGGAAGGAAGAGAAATGAAGAAGGGGGTTAAATGCCCAGAACAGCCAGGGAGACCAACAGTAGGCAGTGCCAGAGGCCATGTCAGGCAGAGCCAACCCCTGGCAGGTGGGAGTTGGCAGTGCCCCATTTGCCCTATTGACCAGGCTCCTATTACTCAGCAGCATGATTATTTTACAGTCATACCTCAGGTTAAAGTTGCTTCAGGTTAAATCTTTTCAGGTTGCGTCCTACAGTGACCCGGAAGTACCGGAAAGGGTTACTTCTGGGTTTCGCCACTTGCGTATGCACAGACGCTCAAAATGACATCACGTGCATGCGCAGAAGTGGCGAATCGCGACCCGTGCGTGTGCGGACGCACAGACGTGGGTTGCGTTCTGCTCAGGTTGCGAACGGGGCTCCAGAACAGATCCCGTTCGCAACCAGAGGTACCACTGTACTTATTTATGAATATCCATACCCCGCCTACTAACCAAAGTTCTTGAGGCAGCTTACAATAAAACATTTAAAATATTTTTAAAAAGCAGCAGCACAATCATCAAAACAGCACAGAGTCTCCCCTAACCTCTGTTCTTCAGCATTCCAAGAAATGCCAGCCTGCAGCTGCATCGCTTGTCTGTTGAAGCAGCTAGGCGTTATTTCCAAACAGGTCAATATGTCCTCACTCAGTGGCTACTGTTGTCTCTTACAGCCCCAGCCCTCCTGGCAGATGCAGGAGTTGCTGGTTCATGTACTTGACATTTCAAGCACTGCAGTAGTTCATTTGATGGTTCCTTTTCCTTCCTTTCTGTGCAAGGAATGAGTTTTTGACTTGAAGGAGCAGTGCAGTGTCTTTTGGCTAAATCTCGGGCAACCCCTTGGGCAGCATTCGCCACAAATTTCAAACTCTAAATCAGGGAAGGAAAACACTTCCTGGCAGAGAAACAGCTGTGTTCCAAAGGAGATGTGGGAACTCGCATCCTCACGCCCTCACAAGCTCCTTGTTTACACTCCAAACATGGCCAGAAGCTCATTGCGACTGCGCCAAGTCTCCCCATAACCCTCCCCATAGCAGTGAAGGCATCCTGTCATTGGTGATGTTTCAGGTGTGACGCAGCAATGCTGGTGTAACTTGCAGGTGGCAGCTACCGCAAGCAGGAAGCTACGGAAGAAGCAGCACTTTCTGTTTTGCCTCAAGTGCCAAAACTTCTCAGTCCAGCCCTACATATATTATACCAGGCATAGGCAAATTCGGCCCTCCAGATGTTTTGAGACTACAACTACCATCATCCCTAGCTAACTGGACCAGTGGTCAGGGATGATGGGAACTGTAGTCCCAAAACAACTGGAGGGCCGAGTTTGCCTATGCCTGTATTGTTGTTGTTTAGTTGTTTAGTCATGTCCCATGGACCAGAGCACGCCAGGCACTCCTGTCTTCCACTGCCTCCCACAGTTTGGTCAAACTCATGTTGGTAGTTTCGAGAACACTGTCCAACCATCTCGTCCTCTGTCGTCCCCTTCTTCTTGTGCCCTCCATCTTTCCCAACATCAGGGTCTTTTCCAGGGAGTTTTCTCTTCTCATGAGGTGGCCAAAGTACTGGAGCTTCAGCTTCAGGATCTGTCCTTCCAGTGAGCACTCGGGGCTGATTTCCTTCAGAATGGATAGGTTTGATCTTCTTGCAGTCCATGGGACTCTCAAGAATCTACCATAGCAAAGGCAGCAATTGGACTCACTGTTGCAGATTACTGTCACCTATTTCTTTGCTTCCCACAGCAGCCATTTCATGCTGGCCCCCACGGCACCTTTATTAAAATATGATTCCCAGCACCTAACACAGAGTAAATGTGTTATCCCTAGTCACACCAGACTTTCAGGGAGTTGAAGTATGATCAAGTGCCCCACACACTGCTGCATGCCTTAGAAGTGAAGATCGGCCCAGTATACCTGAAGGAGCGTCTCCACCCCCATCGTTCTGCCCGGACGCTGAGGTCCAGCGCCGAGGGCCTTCTGGCGGTTCCCTCATTGCGAGAAGCAAAGCTACAGGGAACCAGGCAGAGGGCCTTTTTGGTAGTGGCGCCCGCCCTGTGGAACGCCCTCCCATCAGATGTCAAAGCGATAAATAACTACCTGACATTCAGAAGACATCTTAAGGCAGCCCTGTTCAGGGAAGTTTTTAATCTGTGATATTTTACTGTATCTTTGGTTTTTATGGAAGCCGCCCAGAGTGGCTGGGGAAACCCAGCCAGATGGGTGGGGTACAAATAATAAATTATTATTATTATTATTATTATTATTATTATTATTATTATTATTATTATTATCAGTTCAGTCTGCTTTTGAATGCCTTAAGTACTCCTAGCAGAAGACAGAGAAGATCTTACCTGACACAACCATCTCCAAAGCTTGGCAATTAGGTATGCACATATTACAGAGGCCCAAGATGTAATTGTTGGTGACCACCCAGTAGTCTGAACCCAGAGCAATGAACTACCATCACCTTTTAATTTTTTTGCTGCCCACAGCTGCCATTTTGTGCAGCACCCAGGGCACCTTTATCATAGCATGAGTCCCAGCACCTAATATTTTACCCTACCCCCCCCCCACAAAAGAGGACAGGGTAAATGTGTTATCTCTAGTCACACTGGACTTTCAGGGAGTTTCAGAAGGATCAACTGTCCTGCCACACTGCTGCATAACTTAGAAATGAAGATCAGTTCAGTCTGCTTTAGAATACCGCACCTTAAGTACTCCTAGCACAAGACAGAGAAGATCTTACCTGGTTCAGAACCCATCAGATATGAAATACAAGAATAGCTTGAACCGAAATGGCTGCAAACTTTCCAGAGGCCATAGTTCACATTGCTGCCTACCACCCAGTAGTCTGAGCCCAGGGCGATGAGGAGGAGGAGAAGGCTGATGAAAGCACAAATCACAGCGCAGATCTGCAGTATACGCATTGTGAGAACGGTCAGATCTGAGACTGAGGAGCACAATAGGGATGATGAACCTGGGGAAAGGAGACATCCACATTATTCTACATCAGTTGCAGGCTATGATTAGTTTTTTCTGTAAAGTTGCACACGTCCTGAGAGGCCTACAGCAAATTCATACCTTCCAACATTTCTCCAATGAAAATAGGGATGTCATATGCAATAGTACTACTACAGTGGTGCCCCGCAAGACGAATGCCTCGCAAGACGGAAAACCCGCTAGACGAAAGGGTTTTCCGTTTTGGAGGTGCTTCGCAAAACAAATTTCCTATGGGCTTGGTTCGCAAGACGAAAATGTCTTGCGAGTTCCTGCAGGGTTCCCCCCCCCTTTTCCCCAAGCCGCTAAGCCGCTTAACAGCTGATCCGCTAAGCCGCTAAGCCGCTTATCAGCTGATCGCTAAGCCGCTTATCAGCTGATCCGCTAAGCCGCTTAACAGCTGATCCGCTAAGCTGCTTAACAGCTGATCCACTAAGCCGCTAAGCCGCTTATCAGCTGATCCGCTAAGCCCGCTAAGCCGCTAATAGCGCTAATCCGCTAATCCGCTAATGGGCTTGCTTCGCAAGACGAAAAAACCGCAAGACGAAGAGACTCGCGGAACGGATTCTTTTCATCTTGCGAGGCACCACTGTATTACTATTATTACTACTACCACTACTAATAATGTTTATACCTAGCCCATTTGACTGTTTTCTCCCAGTCACTCTGGGTGGCTTATGACATATATACAGGGCTGCCTTCAGATGTCTTATAAAGGTTATAGTTACTTATCTCCTCGGCTCGGGTTCATACCCTCCAACATCTCTCCAGTGAAAATAGAACATCCTACCATACCCTCCAATACCTCTCTGATGAAAATAAGGATATCCTAAGGAAAAGCAGGACATTCCAGGTTTGGGTACAATTCTTTGTGTTTGGATAAGTGAATTTGTGGATAATGAGCAGACGGATAGCATAATGTAGTTCACTGAACTCCTTCAAATATCTCTGAGTTATACCTGAAAGTAGTTTTCATGGTTGCTGAGTGAACTAAAGATAAATTAAGTTTATTTTGGGGTAGAACTTTGTGCAATTTATAGTTCATCATCACTTTCATCCTCCCACACAGCAGGAGGCCCAGACTTTTAACTTCCTTTAAACAAAACAAAAAAAGTCAATGGGATAGCTATAAAGAAAGTTGAAAATCAAAATGTGGAGGCAATGTTCTTATTATAACCTATTTATCCTAGTGCCGATGACCACATCTCATTGATAAGATCTGTCATGCATTTTTGAACCACAGAGTGGACACTTTTGTCCAACTCAACATTCAAAGCAGAAAATCTAAACCTCCCTCCAACCTTCCTCTCTTGAAAATCGGGATGCCTGTCTTTTGGTGCCATGCTCTTGTGATAGAGGGACAACACTGCAAGTGTCAGCACTGGCTTCAAGCACCGGCTCATCCTCCACTCTGAGTTCAGCAGTGGTGGTGCTGGAGGGGCAAACAGGGCATTCTGGGATCAAATCAGAAGCTGAATTGGCTTCTTTAATTCCAGGATGTCCCGGGAAAATTGGGACAATTGAAGTGTATGTCATTGCAATCAATCAACCTACTCTGACAAGGACTAGTGTTGGATACAACCCTATCCTACCAGTTTCCATATCTCCCCTTTTAAAATAAATATGCAAAGTGACTCAGAACAAAACAATGCCCCCCCAAATGAATTTTCACAGCAAAATAGGCATCATAGGAATATCTACGAACCCAGAAATATGGGACCCCCAACAGAGCTATGCCAAAGTTTTGTGATCATTTTGCAGCACCAACCCCTCCCTTTCATGGCCTCTCAAATTGAGTATCTGATGCATCAAACCAGGCTTCATAGTTAATACCCCAAAACCTAGCATTGTCCAATTCACTACGAATCATTTTGCAGCAGAATCCCTGTGTTTTGCGGTGCCCACAAAACTGAGTAATGGATACAATGGCAAAACTTTGGAGTGAATTAAAGCAACGTTGAATTTGGGGTGACCAGTAAGGCCCACCCACT